ATTCGAAAGTAAAACTTCACTCAATGGTACAAAAATTTATACTGAAGATGTAATTGTTCTTTGAGAGTAAAAGATAATCTGGCCTGGAAAATTACTGAAAACTAATGTTGGTAATTTAGTTCTGTGACCAACTTATACTGATTCCTTCTATGGTTGTTTATTTTTCCATACTGTGAAATCCTTAGTACGTAAATTCTGTGATTATTAGTTTTGGGTGATTGATGCCTTCTCCACTAGATAAAACAATTTGTTATTCTACCTTCCACTCCTATTTCCAATACCAGATCACTATGTAAGTCATTCCATGAAGGAAAAAAAAAAATTTTTAATGGAAACTTGATATTCTGCCACTTGGTGAAATTCATCCCAAAAAGAATCACTTGATCCTTTACTTCCATGTGGAGCTTCTTGAATCTTGGGTAAGAAGCTCCTTCCATCCATACAAGGAATTCCCCGAGTTCCTTAAACAGACCCCCTTCATTTGGCTTAGAAGAACATCCTGTTGGCCAGGTGAGTTCTGAGTTTTAATGTGCTTCCCTTGGTACAGGTGAATGCAATAAGACTATAAGCAAGTGACATTTGGCATGTTTGCTTTCATGGAAATCAATAAAACCCCCCTCGTGTTGTTCAACCCAACCTTAAAATAGCACATCTTCAATGCCTACTACAGTAACCACAGGAACACCAAGTTGGAAACTATTAACAGGGTGAGAGTATCCTTAACTTTCCAAGGGAGAAGGAGAACTATTCCATGGCCACACTGCAGAAATGACTGTTGCACCCACAAGTGCAGTTGAAGGCAGAATGGAGAAGGACAGGGATGAAATATTTCCTGAGGACCATGCTTTTGCATCCCAACAGTGTGAACAGGGACAACCAGACTAATGTATCTTCTCTGATAGACACATTTTTTTCCGTGTAATGGGTCTTTTATTTGAGTTGAAATGAGCAGTGAGGAAATAAAACTTAAAGAGGCCTTGCTGTCTTCAAGAAATCTGTTTTCCAGTAAACCTGCCTCTAAACTATAGTTTTGCAAATATTTTTAAAAGAGGAAACAGATCACAAAATGGAAAAATATCCATTATTTTATTCTTTTCCTTTTTCGAGTCGGAGTCTCGGTCTGTATAGCCCATGCTTGAGTGCTGTGGCACACTCATAGCCACTGCAGTCTTGACCTGCTAGGCTCAGTCAATCCTTCTGCCTCAGTCTTCCAAGTAGCTAGAAACAGGTGTGTGTCACCATGCCCGGCAAATTTTTTGGTTTGTTGTAGAGACAGGGTTTTGCCAAGTTGCCCAGGCTGGTCTAGAACCCCTGGGCTCAAACAGTCCTCTCAACTCCACCTCCTAAATGCTGAAATTACAGGCGTGAGCCACCGCACTCAGCCTCCCATCACTTTATTCCTGTTGCTAAATATCCAGAGAACTTTTCTTCCTATATGGTGTGGAGGATTGATACTGTCTAGTATTGGTTGGGTGTTTTTTTTTTCCTTGTATTATTTTACATGGGTTGAAAATGGGCCCTCCATTTCTCTTTCCACTCAGATCACTTAAAAGTGGATCTGCCCCCCAGATGCCATCTCTGCACTAGATGATCTCTAGAGATGCTTCTCTGTCTCGGGCATGGTGGAGTTATTGCTGCATTTTGGGTAGATTAAGGTGGTGGTGTTTGTCTCACAAGATATTAAAGATGCGCAATTCCTCTAGGAACTCAGACAGGAAATGATCAGAAATGGTATCTGTGCATACTTTACAGAAGAGGATGCCTGTCTCAGAGCGATTTGAATCATTGTCAGAATGAACTTAACTTTCTACTGTCATTTAGTTAACTATCAGTGGGATTACTGTTTATGTGAACACTTTCTCCGAGAAGCCTCAGTAAAGCTGAAACAGTGTAACCACAGTAAGGTATGAATCAGGATCACACCATGGGATTTCCCACCAGTGGTAAAGAGTTGGTGGTTGACATTTTCCATGGGACATATAAACCCAATATTATCAGTCAGCTGACCTATATTTGGATAATTTCCTACCAATAACACACATGCTAGAAAAATTTATCTTGATTTTATGATCCACCTCCATGCTGGTTGTGCGGGGAGAGCTGTGATGCTAGACTCAAGAAAACCTGAGAAGCAAAATCACATTCCAATCAGACAGGTAGGCACTAGCAGAACCATGCCTCCAATTACATGTCCTTCACCCAGCAAAAAGGGACTTACAAGGGCCAAACTTCTAAAAGAACAAACAACAAAAAAGACATGGCCAAACCCTCCATATTCCAGAACTGGAAAAATAAGAAAAGCACCACTAAGTTCCAGATAAACTCATGCCATTATGTATGGAGAGGAAATAAACTGTCAAAAGGCACAATCACTGCTGCTGCCACTGTCTATTTCAAGAAACTAGAAGCCCCATGTAGTGCTCAATTCGCCGTGTTATTCCATCCAAACACAAGCGTCATGTTAGGTAGAACCCAGGTCACATGACTGCATACCAGGCATAAGGGACATTTTGAATCTGAGCTCTGAAACCTTTGGGAAAAATATTTTTGTGTATCACTGGATATTTGCAGCTGATTGTCATGTTCAGGGACGTTGGGTGATCCTAGTTAAACAGTTTCCCCAGAAGCAACTTGTCTCCTTTGGTCTAATTCATGTCAAAGATGAGTTTTGGGGCACGGCTTGATGCTCAAGCAGTGCATTCTGGCAACATTCTTGCAAGACGAATAGTAGGTATAGATCTGTGTCATGGGCAAGACAGTAAGGGTCAGACGCCTGATAGACTGGGAGGATCTCACTCCACAGACCGTCCTGAGTTTGTGAGATTCTTCCTCCTGTCTTACCTGTTTTCAGTCTGGATCACTTACCAAATGTTTCCTTCATAAAGAGAGTTTAAGCTATTCTTGTTAAGAGTAAGTTTTAAGGCTTATGAAAGTTGCATCTGTGCTGAGGTGGCCTTGTCTTCTGGAAATCCCCATGCCCGGGCTGGAAATCCCTGGTCCAGGTTGTATCATAATGACAAGTAACACATGGTGTCAGCCTTATAGCTATGGCTACATCTCTTACAGAATACTGTACTGACTGTGGTAAGTTATGACATAGCAAACACTAGAGCAATCACGAAAAAAGAAATGAAAAATAAGCCAACCTAATTTGCAAACAAACGTTGGATGAAAAGAATATACTGGCTGGGTACAGTGGCTCACACCTGTAATCCCAGCACTTTGGGAGCCCGGAGTTTGAGACCAGTCTAGGCAACAGAGCAACGCTTTGTCTCTACCAAAAAAAAAAAAAAAAATCAAAAAATTAGCTAGGTGTGGTGGTGCAAACCTATAGTCTCAGGTACTAGGGAGGCTGAGGCAGAAGGATCACCTGAGTCCAAAAGTTTGAGGCTGTGGTGAGCCATGATTGTACCACTGCACTCTAGCCTGGGCAAGAGAGACCCCTACTCAAAAATAAGTAAGAATATGCTAACCTGCTATTAAAAATGAACCCTCCATACATTCTGTGATATCATGGGGCAAGATTACCGTCATCTCTTCTGGAAACTTCCATGTTTTATCACATATATAACCCCAAACATTGACTCTACTATTAACATCAGGCATTTCTTTCCTTACTGTGTGTGAAGAGACCTTTTTAATCTCTTCATTTCTTGAACTATGCCCGTAGATGAAGTACAATTAGTGGTCAATAATTGCACATTATTATATTGTGTGAATTTCCCATAGTTAAAGTCTTTCACACTTTTTTTTGGTATTCTGTTTCTCATATTCTGAAAGATTTGTTCATAAGTAAAATTGCCTGCTTGTTCAGATTATCAGATACATACATGAATGGTATGCAGAGACAATTTAAATTAGAATTTAAATTTAAATGAGGAGGTAACAGGAGCTAGTATAGGCTCTTGGTTTGGGTGTAGGGTTCAGGTCTGTAGTGAAGAGGTGAAGAGGCAGGTGAGCCAAGCCTGGGTAACCAAATCTAAATGCTTACTGTGACCCAAATGAACTGTGTGGGAACAGGTCCTTCCTGGACATAGGAAAACAAGTTAGTGCTGAGACCAAGAAACAGATCTAGAGTATCTTTGTATGCTGAGGGTTCCACAGAGCCTGTGCAGCACTGTGGCCCCTGTGTGTGTGGTAAAATACTCTTAAGATTTACCATCTTAACCAGTTTTAAGTGTACAGTTCAGTGGAATTAAGAACTTGCATATTGCTGTGCAACCATCACCACCATCCCTCTATAGGACCCTTTTCACCTTGCAGAACTGAAACTCTATGCCCATTAAATAACTACCCATACTCAATTTTCCCAGCCCTTGGCAATGACACTATACTTTCTCTACAAATGACCTAGATACCTAACATAAGTAGAATCATACAGGTTTCTATGTGAATGGCCCATTTCATTTAACATAATGTTCTCAAGGTTCACCTATGCTGCAGCATATGTGAGAATTCCCTTCCTTTTTCAGGCTGTCATATTCCATTGCATGTATACACTCTCTTTTGTTTCTTCATTCTCCTGTCAATGAACACTTGAGTAGAAGACACTTTACCTACTGTGAATGATGCTGTTATGTACATGAGTGTACAAATACCTACTTAAGACCTCACTATCCATCTTTTTGAGTATTTTCCCAGAAACTGAAATGCTGGATCATGTTATTTCCATGTTAATTTTTTGAGAATCTGCCATGTTATTTTCAGCAGTGCTTGTGCCATTTTATATTCCAACTGACAGTGCTCAAGGGTCAGTCTCAATCATCCCACATCCTTGCCAGCATTGATTTCTCATACTTTATAGCACTAATCCTAATGGGTATGAGGTGGTATGTGTGTCATGGATTTGATTTGCATCTCCCTGCTGACTAATGACGTATGTGCTTATTGGCTATTTGCATATCTTCTTTAGAGAAAAGCGTCAATTCAAGTCCTTTCTGCATTTTAATATTGGGCTGTGTCTTAGCTTGATCTGCTAAAACAAAATACCATAAACTGGATGGTTTAAACAACAAACATTTATTTCTCAGTTTAAAAGGCTGGGAAGACCAATATCAAGGCACTGGCAGACTGTGTGTCTGGTGGCAGCCTGCTTTCTGGTCCAAGTAAGACTACCTTCTTATTGTGTTCTTTCACAGTGGAGAGCAAAGCTAGCTCTCTAGGGACTCACGTCAGGAGACAAATCCCATTTATTAGGCCTCCATCCTCACAATTTCATCTAATCCCAACAAGCACTAGGGACATCTCTGAATACCATCACATTAGAGGGTAGGGTTTAACAGTGAGTTTAGGGAACATACACACTAAGCCCAACTCTTCCACATTGGCCCCCCAAAATCCCAACCTTTCCACATCTAGCCCCCCCAAAGCCCGTGTTCTTCTATCACATAAAATACAAGTATCTCATCCCTAAGGCCTCAAAAGTCTTAACAAATTCTAGAATGATTTCTAATGCCCAAACTCAAAGCATCATCTCAATATCATACAAGTCAAATATGGTTGAGACTCAATTCGTGCTGAGGCAAAAGTCTTCTTCAGCTGCAAACCTGTGAAGCCAAACTACGTGTATACTTCAAAACACAACAGTGAGACAGGCATAAGATAGGCATTCCTATTTCAAAAGGAAGAAAGAGAAGAGGAGGAGGGGTAAGCTCCCAAGCAAGTCCAAAACCCAGAAGGCAATCTGAAGACTTTCCATATTCTTTACACATGTAGAATTTTGCTCCACTACGCATTCTCATGTGTACTTGAAGGTTGTGTAATAAATGAAAGGTTTTCCACATTTCTTACATAAGGTTGATCTCCACCATGAGCTCTTTTATGTCTTTGAAAGGAACTGGAATAGCTGAATGTTTTCCCACATTTATTACATTCATAGGGCTTCTCTCCTGTATGAGTTCTTTCATGTATTCGAATGGAACTGGCATAATTGAATGCTTTCCCACATTCTTTACATTCGTAGGGTTTTTCTCCAGTGTGAGTTCTTTCATGTGTTCGAACGGTACTAGGACAGTCAAAGGCTTTACCACATACCTGACATTTATATGGTCCCTCTCCAGTGTGCAGTATCATATGTTTTCGAATCCTTTTGAGAGAAATGAAGGCTTTCCCACATTCCTTACATTCATAGGGTTTCTCTCCAGTGTGAGTTCTTTCATGTATTTGAAATGAACTGGGACAGTCAAAGGCTCTACCACATATCTGACATTTATAAGGGCCATCGCCAGTGTGTCTAATCATATGTCTTCGGACACTTGGGAGAGAAATGAAGGCTTTCCCACATTCCTTACATGCATAGGGTTTCTCCCCGGTGTGAGTCCTTTCGTGTGTTCGAACATTGCTGGAAGAACTGAAGGTTTTACCACATTTATTACATTCATACGGTTTCTCCCCAGTATGAGTTCGTTCATGTTTTCGAACGTAACTGGGAAAAATGAAGGCTCTTCCACACACCTTACATTTATAAGGTCCATCTCCAGTGTGCTGAATCATGTGACTTTGAAAATTTGTGAGAGAAATGAAGGCTTTCCCACATTGCATACACTCATGGGGTTTCTCTCCAGTGTGAGTTCTTTCATGGATTCGAAACAAACTGGGACGGTCAAAGGCTTTCCCACATTCCTGACATTTGTAAGGTCCATCTCCAGTGTGTCTAATCATATGTCTTTGAAAACTTGGGAGAGAAATGAAGGCTTTCTCACATTCCTTACATTCATAGGGTTTCTCTCCAGTGTGAGTTCTTTCATGGATTCGAAACAAACTGGGACGGTCAAAGGCTTTCCCACATTCCTGACATTTGTAAGGTCCATCTCCAGTGTGCTTAACCATGTGCCTTCGAACGCTTGGAAGAGAAATGAAGGCTTTCCCACATTCCTTACATTCATACGGTTTCTCACCAGTGTGAGTTCTTTCATGTCTTCGAATGGACTGACAAGAACTGAAAGCTTTCCCACACTGCTTACATTTATATGGTTTCTCTCCATACTCTTGATACTCATACGGTTTGTGTCCAGCGTGAGATCTGATGTGCCTGCTAAGGGATGAAGGATGCATAAAGACTTTTCCACATAAGTTACATTCACACGGTGTTACTACAGTGGGAATTTTCTTGTTCAGGTTAAGATTTAGAATCCGGCCGAAGGTTTCTCTGTATTGATTATGTTCTTCACTTTCACAAAATCTCTCAACCAGATGATTGCTGTAAAAAATAGAAAGCATATTAATGCTTTGTTGATTAGTGACTTTACATTTATTAACAAGTATTGGACTTATTGGGAAAAGGTTAGGTCTTTAGCCCCGTCTGAACTGTCTCAAAGTGAATGGACTGAGCACTCTGCAAGAGGGCTTGAAAATAGCTATTATCAAAACAGTAATATTCATATATACAGTTTCTTAATACTGTTTCCAAAGGAACTATTTTGCAAACACTGAACAGATATATTTTTGTGGGAAAAGTTCTATGAGTAAATAAATCTGAAGCTGAACTTACTAGTTTGTTTCCTTATTTTTAAAATTTCATTGCCGGGCTCGGTGGCTCAACCTGTAATCCCAGCACTTTGGGAGGCTGAGGTGAGTGGATTGCCTGAGCCCGCGGGTTCGAGACCCGCCTGGGCAACTTGGCGAGACCTCATCTCTACAATAAATCAAAAATTAGAGCCGGGCTCGGTGGCTCAGCCTGTAATCTCGTGCCTTTGGGAGGCTGAGGTGAGTGGATTGCCTGAGCCCACGGGTTCGAGACCCGCCAGGGCGTGTGAGACTTCATCTCTACAATAAATCAAAAAATCAGCTGGGCGTGGGA